CGGAAGCACATCGTAAAGCAGCGTGGAAATCATTGACCCTAGTCTAATCGCAAGGTGGCACAAGGGACAAGGGTACCTCTTGTTGGTCCAAGCATGGGAAGTGTGGCTGCATTGCTCAATTGCTCTTTCCTCTCACTCGTGTTGCTTGGTCTCCTTTTTTCTAGTTGTGCCGTGCAGCTATAATCATCATGCTATCCTCAACTCCTAAGGTTCTCAGAACTTCGCTCTTTGAGCAGTTCTCTTCTCGCTCTTTCTCTTCTCGTTCTTCTGCTTCTCGTGCTTTTACTCCTCGATTCCCACTACAGCGACTCCCGGCGCGTCGTTTCTATTCTTCTGAGCCCCCCAAGAAGCCATCTGGTGTCAAGTTCTGGCCTTTCCTTGCTGTTGTCATTGCAGGAAGCGGTGCTTACAAGCTCCTCGTTGACCAAAGAGCCGGTGAGTGGACGCCCTTTGTTCTTATGCAGCTTACCTGTCCACACCTGCATACACCAAAACCTACCCCTTCTCAAGTCTCGTCAATCTACGAGGAACTCAACTAATCGTCTCACCTTTCAGAAATGGCGTCCCTCCCCGCCCCCGAAGCTTCCAAGCAGCTGCCCTCCCCGACAAAGTCCACACCTACCTTCTCCCCCGATGAAGTAACCGTCCTCTTCGTCCTTGGCGGTCCCGGCGCCGGCAAGGGCACCCAATGCGCCAGACTCGTCTCCGACTACGGCTTCACTCATCTTTCTGCCGGCGACCTCCTCCGCGCCGAGCAGGACCGTCCCGGCTCGCAATTTGGCCAGCTGATCAAGGACTACATCAAGGACGGTCTGATCGTCCCGATGGAGGTCACTGTGCAGCTGCTCGAGAACGCCATGACGGAGACCATCAAGACCACCGGCAACAAGCGATTCCTCATTGACGGCTTCCCGCGCAAGATGGACCAGGCCGTCAAGTTCGAGGAGGCCGTGTGCCCCGCGAAGCTCGTTCTCTTCTACGATTGCCCTGAGGATGTCATGGAGGGACGCTTGCTGGAGCGCGGCAAGACGAGTGGACGCGCCGACGACAACGCTGAGAGCATCCGCAAGCGCTTTCGCACATTTGTCGAGACGTCGATGCCTGTCGTTGATTACTTTGCCAAGGAGGGTCGCGTTGTGAAGCTCGATGCGACGCCCCCGCCGGCGGATGTCTACTCCAAGACTCGCTCAGAGCTGTCCAAGAGGCTTGGAATTTAAACTCGAGATGCCTAGAGAAGACTTGAACGTGGATAAATGGTCGAATTTCCCACCGGCTGTCATTCCTTTTGGTCATGGTGCTGAGGAGCAGTAGACTCGTCCACTTGGACAGCATCTGCAAAGGGGCTGATGAAAGGCTACAATACAATGCGTTGAGAGTAAGATAGTTACTTTGTAGGTTTTGTGTTAATAGAATTATCCTAGACTTGTCAAAGGGCTATAGCCATACAAGTGGTTTATATTATTTCATTATCCTTCTATTCATCATTTGAGGTGCGACAGTTTAGATGTAATGTAAAAATGCTTGGGCCTTCAATGCTTCGTTGGGTACTTACCTTAGGTATGGGGAGCTTACTAGTACCTATCAATGGACGTGGAACCGCTAACCACCCCTGCTGGTTATGGTGAATAAGCTCTCCCAAGGGGCAAGGTCTGCAGCACGCTGAATCTGAGAGGTGTGCCCCCCACCTCCGTCGTTTTGCCGGACCCACTGTAAGGCACCACCTTTGATGACGCTGTTGGCGGTGCGTTCTACCACTTAATCAGTGGTACGTCAAGTCCAAGAGCTCTCTCTTCACATCCCACTAAGCAAAAGCTACCTCGGGCAACTTTCCACAAGCTTCCCTTGACCACACCTCCTTTCCTGAGCTCAAGACCACACAAAACGGCAAGTAGCAAAGGAATGGGCTCTTGCTAGAGAGATTCTACATTATATATTTTCCTGCCCTTTCTTCTCCGTACCTCTCCCGATCTGAGATCTCACACAACCCTGCACGGTTTCGCATCCCTCGCCCAAGATGCTTCTCAGACTCCGAGGGCCCGATGGCATGAGCCGCCTGACCATCGACAAGGACGAGACCTTCGGCGAGCTTGGACGTCAGGTATGATGTCTCAAACAAGTTACCGAATACTGATCTAACTCTTCTAGCTGCTTCCGAACCTTCCAAAGACGGTCGACCCCAGCACCATCACTCTTTCTAACGCCCCCACCGGCGGCGATGCTAAGAAGCTCGTCGATATTACGAACTTCAAGATTGGACAGATTGGACTGAAGTAGGCCCATGCATGATGTTCAAGCTCGAGATCATATTCTGACACAGGCAGGCACGGCGACCTCATCTTTATCAACTACCAGCACCAGGACAGTCTGTCGAATGGCGCCACCAATGGTGCCCAGCCAACGTCCCATCCTCTCGCGTCCTCGAACCGTCTCAACGGAAAGCCCATCCTCCCCACCGAAGACCTCCCGATCGATCCTCCTCCGGTGACTTCGCCCTCCGAAAAGATCAAAAACCCATGGGAAGTCGTTAAGCAGCACCCTCTCGACGACCGCTTGGACAAGAAGGATGGCAAGATTCCGAGAAAGCGCGACAAGATGTGCCGCCACGGCGAGAAGGGCATGTGTGATTACTGCATGCCCTTGGACCCATTCAACGCCAAGTATCTGGAGGAGAAGAAGATCAAGTACTTGTCATTCCACTCGCACCTACGAAAGATCAACTCCGCCACGAACAAACCCGAGCTTGGTAGCTCCTTCATTCCTCCTCTGGTAGAGCCATACTTCAGAGTCAAGCGCGACTGTCCATCCGGCCATCCGCTGTGGCCCGAGGGCATCTGCACCAAGTGCCAGCCTAGCGCCATTACTCTTCAACCCCAGCCATTCCGCATGGTCGATCACGTCGAGTTTTCGTCGCCCAACATCATTGATAGTTTCATTGACGCTTGGAGAAAGACAGGAGGCCAGCGACTAGGTTACATGTACGGCAGGTATACCGAATACGAAGTCGTGCCACTTGGTATCAAGGCAGTTGTGGAGGCCATCTACGAGCCACCTCAAGTGGACGAACTGGACGGAATCTCCCTGAACGGCTGGGAAAATCAGAAGGATGTTGATGATGTCGCAAGACTGTGCGGTCTGCAAAAGATTGGCGTCATTTGGACAGACCTTCTGGATGCGGGCGCTGGTGACGGATCGGTGGTGTGCAAGAGGCACGCGGATTCTTACTTCTTGTCTTCCCAAGAAATCTGTTTCATTTCACGTTTGCAGGCCCAGCACCCGAAGCCCACCAAGTGGAGCGACAGCGGCAGATTCGGTTCTAACTTTGTCACCTGCATCATTTCGGGCAACGAGTCGGGCGAGATTTCCATTTCTTCGTATCAAGCGTCCAACGACGCCGTTGAGATGGTGCGCGCCGACATTATTGAGCCCTCGGCCGATCCCAACGTTATGCTTGTTCGCGAAGAGGAAGAGGATGATGGATCCGTCAGTCGCACAAGATACATTCCGGAGGTCTTCTATCGCAGAATCAACGAGTACGGAGCCAATGTCCAGGAGAACGCCAAGCCGTCTTTCCCGGTTGAGTATCTCTTTGTGACACTGACGCACGGCTTTCCGGATGAGTCCAAGCCGACCTTCACACAGCTCGGTTTCCCTATCGAGAACCGTGAGTACATGGGTGAGAGCCAGGAACACTCAGCAGTCGCCAGAATCCTCAAGTTTTCGGGAGGTCAGAAGCCAGCTGAGGGTGGCCTTGAAATGTCCAACTTTCATCTACTGTGCTTCATCCACCAGATGGATATCTTGTCAAAGGTTTGTGGGCATCTTGTACTTTCAGAGCATCAACTGACAGCTGCGTAGGATGAAGAGTCACTACTCTGCCGAGTTGCGTCGCAGCACGATCTCGCCGACACATATCAGCTACGATCTACCCCTGGCTGGCAGACTTTGCAGGCGATTCTGCAATCGACTGGTGAGCGAATCCCCAAACGCCCACGGGAGTCCGGGGGCCATTCCAATTCCAATTTAATTGATGCTACTGCTTATCCGCGACCCCCTGGTACCACGGAAGAACCGCTGGCTAAACGATTTGCTGCCTTCAGGCTGAACGAGCGCCGCCCACCGGGGTAAATTCACATACCTTTGGTCTATTTTCCTAGGATTGGTTGCCAGTTACGCGTCAATGACCGTGGTGTATCAACACGATCTTCCAGGAGTCCTGGGTGTCCATTTGCCGAAGGGATAGGGTTTGCGGGTGGTCTGGCTGCTCATTTTGAGGGCCAGGTTTGTTTGTTCGGTACGGTGTTTGGGGGTCGAGGTAGCATATCGGCATCAGGGTGGCATTAGTAGCAGTTCACGGAGGCGATAAGATGGCTGCGCCTCTGAACAAAAGATATTCCAAAATAGATGCAGTATCAGTGAAGCCGTCTTCTCGCGGAATTCCGCGGGACAGTGGTGAAAATTGTTATCTTGCACATTGTGGTTGTATCCCTTTTGCAACTTCGCTACTAACCATGGTCAACCAGTCTCTCCTGCTTCTATGCTGTCACCTCGTCGGCAGATCACCTAGCCCGTAATAGAAATCATAACCGGGCGGATTACGAAAGTAGCAGGCCATCACGAACTGCTATGATGATTACTACTGCTGTAGGCAAATATTTTCCTGATCTAACAGTCGTCTCTGTCGTCTCTGTGTCAGCGTATTCACTGTTTACGCCTCTTGCTCTGCACGCACATCATGGTCATAATGGTATCCTGAGTATTTTTCAACTTTTGATTCCGCCCTAAATACTCCAGGCTATCTACAACAAAAATCAAGTCTTTTTGTTTACCCCTAAATCAGGATTTGTTTTTTCGTATCCCCCCTCCGATATCACACCATCGCCAGTAAAAAAAGACGAGTAGTTTCCGGCTAGCCATTAACTCCTTTTGAAAATGAAACAGAGAGAGGGGGTTCGCAGCTTTTGTTTTTTTTTTATCTTCCCTTTTAAACTCCTCTTCTATATTTACAACGGCTTGCCGCCGAGGAAGTCAGACCAGCGGCGGACTTCAGAGGGAATGCCCCCCTTGCGGGGAAGCTTCTCGCTCATGCACTGAGCGAAGAGCATAGCAGTCTGTCACCGTCGTTAGCATTTGCTTCCTAGCTGGGGTGTATTGTTCGTGGAATTAAGCTTACCTTGGGCTCCATGAACAGGGGAACGCCAAAGTCGACGGCGTTGCGGCGCATGACGTAATCGACGTCCATGATGGTCTTGCCACGGGCCTGGGCAAGGTTGAAGACACCGCGGATGTCGTATTTCTGGAATACCTCACGGAGGGCGCGCTTGTCCTCCTTGGGAAATTCGATAACATCGACGGTGACGTTGCCCTTGGCGTTGGACTCGATGAACTGCTTGACCTCGTTGTCGGCGGCGAACAGCTTGTAGCCGAGGGGCTGGAGGTAGTTGACAACAGTGATGAGCCAGTCCTTGTTAAGCTCACCGCCGAAGAGCAGGCCCTCGCCAGGCTCGGGCATGCGGAAGTTCATGGTGGACTGGAGTGAGGTCCAGTAGGCCTCGACGAGGTCCTTGCCGAAGCAAGCAATCTCACCGGTGGAGGCCATCTCGACGCCGAGGAAGGGGTCGGCGCCGGCCAGACGGGTCCAGGAGAACTGGGGAACCTTGGTGGCGAGGTAGTCGCGCTTGACGGCCATGGGGTCCTGGGGCTCAGGGACCTGCTGGCCGACAAGAGCCTTGGTGGCAACGTCGATGAAGTTGACGCCAAGGACCTTGCTGACGAAGGGGAATGAACGAGAAGCACGGAGGTTGCACTCGATGACCTTGAGAGCAGGCTCGCCTCCCTCCGGATCATCAGCCTTGATGATTTGCATGTTGAAAGGACCAGTGATGCGCCAGGCCTTGGCAACCTTCTGGGCGATCTCCTTGCAGCGGTCCATGGTGGTCTGGTCCAGGTTGGCAGGGGGCAAGACGAGGGTAGCGTCACCGGAGTGAACACCAGCCTGCTCGACGTGCTCACTAACGGCGTGAATAATGAGCTCACCCTTAGAGGCAACACCATCAACGTCAATTTCCTGAGCCCCCTCGATGAACTTGGTGATAACAACGGGGTGATCAGGGGAGACGTTGGAAGCAGCCTCGAGCTTCTCCTTCAAGTCCTCTTGGCTGCGAATGACAGTCATGGCAGCACCGGAAAGGACGTAACTGGGACGAACCAGGACAGGGTAGCCAACCTGCTCGGCAAAGGCCTGGGCATCCTCAACTGAGGTGAGCTCCTTCCAGGCGGGCTGGTCAACACCAATGCTGTCGAGGATCTCGGAGAACTTCTGTCTATCCTCCGCCTTGTCAATGTCCAAGGGGTCAGTTCCCAAAACATTTGCGCCACCAGTCTCCTGAAGCCGCTTTGCGATGTTCTGGGGGAGCTGACCGCCAACGGATACGACGACGCCAGAAGCGGTCTCGAGTTCGTAGATATCCATGACGCGCTCGTAGCTGAGCTCCTCGAAGTACAACTTGTCGGCAGTGTCAAAGTCTGAAAAAGGTTAGCGCATGTTAAAGTAGGGCGAACCGTATAAGTCAGAGTCCAAATGCCAATTGCGGGCTCGAGGATCTCGATAATTGACGAAGGATAAGTAGCACATACCTGTAGAGTAGGTCTCCGGGTTATACTTATGGCTTGTAAGTATTCGGTCTGTTTATGTGGGTGTATTTGGGCACTTACGTTGATCATGACAGTCTTGTTGCCCATCTCGCGGAGGGCCTGTGTAGCACCGACAGCGCACCAATCAAACTCAACAGAGCTACCAATGCGGTAGACACCGCTGCCAAGAATGATGATTCCCTTGTCATCGAAGGTAACATCGTGGGAAGAGGCGTTGTAGGTGGTGTATAGGTAGTTAGTGTCAGCAGGGAACTCGGCGGCAAGAGTGTCGATCTTCTTGACCCAGGGGCGGATGCCGAATCCAAGACGAGCCTCGCGAACCTTATCCTCGGTGCTGCCAACAGAGTTGGCGATCTGACGGTCAGAAAAACCAAGCTTCTTGGCCTTCAGGATCTGGTCCTTCTTGAGAGCCTCGAGGCCACCAGCCTGCTCCATCTCGCGGGTGCAGTCGACGAGGTTCTGAAGCTTGTACAGAAACCATTTGTCGATCTTGGTGAGCTCGTGGACCTTCTCAACGGAATAGTTCTCATGGAGCATGGCCTGGCCGACGGCGAGCCAGCGGCGGTCGGTGGGGTTCTGAAGCTCGAAGTCAAGGTCGTCGAACTTGTCGCCCTGGAACCCGACAAACTTGGGGTCGACCTGGCGAATAGCCTTTTGGAAGGACTCTTCGAAAGTACGTCCGATAGCCATAACCTCACCAACAGACTTCATGGCACTTCCGATATCACGCTTAACGTGCTGGAACTTGGAAAGATCCCAGCGAGGCATCTTGGTGACAATGTAGTCAAGAGAGGGCTCGAAGTTGGCTGTCGTGGTCTTGGTAACGGCATTAGGAAGCTCGGGGAGGCTGTGGCCAAGACCAATCTTCGCAGCGGTATAAGCAAGAGGGTATCCAGTAGCCTTGGAGGCCAAAGCAGAAGAACGAGAAAGACGAGCGTTGACCTCAATGACACGGTAGTCGAGGCCGTCGGGCTGGAGAGCGTACTGAACGTTACACTCTCCCACGACACCAAGATGGCGGACAATCTTGATGGCGGCGGATCGGAGCATGTGGTACTCCTCATCGCTCAGGGTCTGACTAGGGGCAACGACGATACTGTCTCCAGTGTGAATACCCAAGGGGTCGAAGTTCTCCATGTTGCAGACAGTAATGCAGTTGTTGTTCGCATCACGAACGACTTCGTACTCGAGCTCCTTCCAGCCCTTGAGGGACTTCTCAACCAAGATCTGGGGGGAGAGAGTGAGAGACCTGGCGGCCATGTTGCGCAGCTCCTCCTCGTTGTTCGCGAAACCGGAACCAAGACCACCGAGGGCGTAGGCGGCACGGACGATAATAGGGTATCCGACCTTGTTAGCGGCGTCGAGAGCCTCCTCGACGGTGCCAACGGCGATGGACTTGGCGATGGGAATATCGATCTCCTCAAGAGCGCGGGCAAACAAGTCACGGTCCTCAGAGACCTCAAGAGTCCTGACGCTGGTTCCAAGAACCTTGACGCCGTACTTCTCCCAGAGACCCGCGCGCTGCATCTGGACACCGAGGTTCAGGGCGGTCTGACCGCCGAAGGAAAGGAAGACACCATCAGGCTTCTCCTTCTCGATAACGTACGACACGTATTCCGGCGTTACAGGAAGGTAATAGACCTCGTCGGCGAGCGAGTGGTTGGTCTGAATGGTAGCGATGTTGGGGTTGATGAGGACTGACTTGACGCCGGCCTCCTTAAGAGCCTTCAGAGCTTGCGATCCTTCACGATGACTCCATGTTAGTCAAGTCTTCTCATTCATTGTGACTCATTCTTGGCACTCGAGACTCGAGAACAGGCAAGGAAACGAACCTGAATAGTCAAACTCGCCAGCCTGGCCAATGGCGAGACCACCACTGCCAATGACCAAGACCTTCTTAACGTCGACGCCGACGTGGGGCTTGATCACGCCGCTCTCGAGATAAGCCTTCGGGTTCGGCGCAGTTTGAGCAGCGCTGGGACGGAGCGCGCTGGCAGTAAACAGGCGCTTCTGAAGCAACTTCGCACTGCTAGTCTGAAGAGAAGCTCTGGCGGAAGTATTGGCGGCGGCAAGAGTGAAGTTGCGACCGGCCAGAGCTGTAGGGACTCGCCGACCATGTCGGAGGACGGCCGGGGCGCGGCCTGCCAAAGTGTTTGACATGGCCGACGGCATTTTCAAGGTCTTAACAAGCCAATGCGACAGAGACCGGTAGGAAGAGAGTGAAGCCTCAAGGTCAGGGCCAATTGAATGGTTTAGGACCGAGAGAGCAGAAGAATATAGCCGCCGCTTTGGAGAGTTTGTGACTCTTCTTCCTGAGCTTTGTTAAGGTTGTGGGGGGAGGGACACTGAAGTAGAACCGTAGGTAGGTCAGGTCTTCCTCTTCAGCAAAAAAAGGCGGTCCGGGTCCGAATACTCACACCAGATAAGATAAGGAAATTTTTCTCTGGGTGTTGTTGAATGGCCGATCGGGGGGCCCAACAACCGTCCAACGCGCTAACTGGGGTAATATTTCAGGCGGCCCTTTTCCTCAGGGCCCCCGTCTGCAGACCAGGGACCACTTGGCGGCCGTTATCGCAGCCTCCGCCAGTGTCACCGCAGTGACAAAACCCTCGTCCCTCGTCCACAGAGGCTGTCCTTCCCCTCAGATAGGCGAAAAATTCTGCCAAATGCAGCTGTAACAGAGTTTTACGGGGGTTCTAAACTGTCGAAACCTTCACTGCAGCATTTAATTGACCTAACGGCTGCCCCTCAATTGCGCCTTGTTTGCATCGTCTTGCCCGGTTGTTGCGTCCTTCTCGGTGTACACAGCGGGCTGAGCTTGGGCAGACAATATGCCGCATTGTTTCCATCTCAGACAGCAAAGATGCATGGCACAGTCACCCGTCACACATCAGGCTGAGCATGTGAGCAATACAAGCGGACCTCCTGTCTCCCTGTGCTCCAGCTACAGCTCCCAAAACGACAGAAACTGTGACTCAACGCTGATCTATTGCAGCAATTTCACACAACTGCCAAACGCTTGCACGCACCTTTCCCTGTCTGAGCTTTCGTGCTGCGATCTGACGTCTGGTTAAGCCCCGCCATATCTGGCATGTGCCCCGCCTTTCAATGCCGGGGAGTTCTGAATTTCCCCATCCTTACAGCCATTGGCCAATACCAATGCGCCGAACCAGCGCAAGTAATGCCGACGGAGAAGCCGGAGGACGCCAAAAACGGTGCTGGCGCCGATGAGAGCGATGAGGGGAGCTTCGATCCCTCATAAGGATCAACCAACACCCTGGTTGACACTTCATATAGTCTTCACGAAAACAGCTAGCCGTGGTCCACGACTCGCGGGTTCCATCGGTGTCCCGATGAGAATGATTCATCCAGCAGTTGCCAATGACTCTTCAAAGTGTGGTATTCCATTCGCCAACAAATGCCAGCCCAAGCTCATCTCGTGTAAGTCGTGTCCCTATTTCTTTTTTTTCTAACTTCCCATGCCGTTCATGTCTAGTTCTTCTCTAATCTCACCGCCGGGTTCCTCTCGATGAAGTTCAAATCCACCTTGTGGCCAAGCAGCTCACGAATGTTGGAAATGCCGTATTTGATCATTGTTGGTCTCTCCAGAGAGAGTCCCCAACTAGTTCTCGTCGTCAGCAAGTAATCATGATTAACACAGAATTGGATCAACTTACCCATATACTCTCATATCCTTGGGCAGACCCATCGCCTCCAGCATCTCTGGTCTGAACATACCGCTGTTACCAATCTCGACGAGCTTGTTCAAGCCCTTGTGGAAGGAGAAAATCTCCATGCTGGGCTCTGTGTAAGGGTTGTAGGCAGGCTTGAACTTGATGTCAGTGATGCCCATCTTGTTGAAGAAGATCTCCATGAACTCCATCAGACCACCCAGAGTCAGGCCGTAGTCAGCGATAACACCCTCAACTTGGTGGAACTCGGCCAAATGTGTGGCATCCACGCTCTCGTTACGGAAGACTCTGTCAATGGAGAAGTAACGCGCCGGAGGAGGCCTGCCATCAGGTCCCTTCTTGGCAGCCAGCTGGTGAAGTACAGCCGTAGAGATGGCGGTCGTGTGAGTACGGAGAACCAATCTCTGAGCCTCATCGGCAGCCCAGGGGTAGCGGTATCCGATCGAGCCGAACTTTCCATCTTGGTGCACCTGCTTAACATTCTCCCAGTAGGTCTCGTAGTCCTTCTTGTCGTCCGCAGACTCAGGGCCGGGCTTGTCCGCAACCTTGGGGTCGGAAATATAGAAGGTGTCCTGGAGATCTCTTGCGGGATGTTGTTGGGGGACGAAGAGAGCGTCGAAGTTCCAGAAGCCAGACTCGACGAACTTGCTGGTGGGCATCTCCTCGAATCCCATCTCAAAGAAGATTTGTCTGAACTCGTGGCGGACCTTGTTCAAAGGGTGAAGGGCACCGGCATTTTGGTCGGCACCGAGGGCCTTGAAGTTGTAGGGCTTGAAGTTGGCAGTCTTCCACGAGCCAGAGGCAATCATGTCGGCCGTAAGGTCCGTCTCCTCCTTCTTGATCTCGAGAGCGAACTCCGGTCCCTTCTGGATCTTGAAAGTAATGACCTTTTGGGTCTTGATGAGCTTGCGCTTCTTCAAATCCGTGATGACCTTCGAGTCATGGGTGTGCTTCTCCTGGATCTCCTTGAGTTGGGCCTGGGTCTCGTCTTGGATCGACTCGGTCTGTGAATGCACTATTAGCGCCAGGTGATTTGGACAGTTTGATACAAAATGCACTCACAGTCGCAACAAGCTTTCCGGTAGCCTCCTTCTTCACCCACTTGTTCTTGAAGGCCTTGCCCTGACCCAACTTGGTGACATTCTTGTCGCCAATAGCAGCCTCAAGCTCCTGGATCGTCAGACCCTCCAGAGCTTTGCGCACCGCCTCGAAGACACGAGCCTCATGACTACCATGTTCGGCAATCTGCTTGCCCTCGGCCTCGAGAACTGCCTCTTCGCGCTCAATTGACTCGTACTTCACCATGGAACGGCTGGCAAGGCGGTCGAGAGCCGCCTTCAGGTCGGCGAACTGGAACTCCGGGAAGTACTCGGCGGACAGGACAGGTTCCTTCACGGACAGAGCGAGAAGAATCTGGGATGTGAGGTCCCCGGAGGGACCGTTGCTTGCTGTCGCCATGATTTGGGTCGTTGGTGTCGAGATTTTGAGCCGTTCTTGCCTGACACCAAGGTTGACGATGTTCGCTCCGTTGAGTCAGAGGGGCAGCCGGGCGGGCAGTACTGGCAGAAATTTGGCTCGACCATCAAATCGGAGGGGAGTGTGGACCCTGCGCCAGATAGGAAGGAGGGGTCCTCGTATCTATGTTCCACCGATCTCCGGGTGTGGACAGCCAGGCCGCCCGGGCAGGCCCACAAGGATTACGGGAGCTGACTGCCTTCCATTCTACTGGGGAATAATGGAGGTCTTCGGACCGGCAGGCGCGTCTGTGCATCATCCCTCCATTAGAAGCTTGCCTAAGCTGTGGCGTCACTCTCGGCACCCCTGCAGCTACGGTCGGCCACCCTTATCCACGTCAAGTTGCAACGGTCGCCGAGGTCTCTGCGAATGTTTCCATCGTGAGACCGCACATTCAACAGTTCTGAACTCACATTCTCTCCGGTTGCTGGAGTATGTGAAGCGACGCCTCTTCTAACGCCGCAGCGATTTTCTTCGACACCAATGAGGCCCCAGAGCTATGGTCGATGATGCTGCGCCCGATACCCTCCCAGGCCGATCGATCCCTCCACCAGATGGTCAAGAGGATGGTGGAGGGGCCCCAGAGCTGTCGCTGCCCGCGGGTGACTCGATTACACGAGGTGCCCAAAGGCGACGACGCCGCAAGCATCGAAAGATCAACATTGGCCTTGCGAGAAAGTTCGACCTTATGACCAAGTTGCTGCAGAATCTCGATGCTCTGGTATACGCGGAACTTTGCACACTGTATTATATGGAGTATGGAGTTCGTGTTCTCGCTTCAATCAACTAGATTCTAACCCAACCGCCAGGTGTTCGATATTCCGCTTCGCTGTCCGCGTATATGGTCAACATCACTGGCTTACGCCTAAGCCCCATGACTACCCCTTAACGATGGAGGCCCCGCGCTCGCAGGTCATTTCAGTATTCGTTCCGAACCTCATATGCATTCTCCTGCACATATTCTCAGCCTTACCCACTGCCGGTGAGGCAGCCAGAGGTTATCTTCATGGCGGTGTTATCGTCGACTTCATTGGACAGAAGCCACCAACCTCGAAACTCACATTCTTGGCTCTGGACCTCATCATCTTAGCTGTCCAATGTCTGATGCTAGCCGTCCATTCTGAGCGAGAGAAGCTGCGACCGCTTGTACAGCCTTTCTGGCCTCAAGTTTTAGGAGGACAAAACACAGCAACATCGACCCAAGATCACGACGCCGAAGAAAGGGGCGTACACAGGGATGCACCCGGATTAGAAGAGGAGGGCACTGAGAGCATAGAATTACAGCCCCTAAGACCCAACCGGTATGTGGAGGCCAGCAATGAAGGAGAGAGGAGCCGAGACAGCAGTCGATCTTCTCGCTGGGTTCGCTCGCTGAACGGGAATCATCTCTTCGACGTGCTCACTTCAGGGAATGGGGTTCTCGGCGAATTTCACATTTCTCACACGATTAGGAACGCCACCACAGACTTTCGCGGAGCAGCAGGGCATTCACTACAAACCTTGGGTTATACTGCTGCGTTAACTAGGCTCTCGGCGATGAGGAGAATGCCCCGTTTAGAACGCAATCAGAGGAATCAAAGATAGTGCAAATGGGTATCACAAAAGTCTTAATGCCGACTGGTCTTCAAATGGCGCCGGTGCACCTTGGTATCTTACGCAATCTTGCGACCAACATTACCCACACCGCTGCCCTTTACAGAAACAAGAATGTCACCCGACTCGTCGTCGTCCACGTCCCTCAAACCCCAACTGCTTGCGCCAAACGTTCGCAAGTCCCGGGCCAAGCCAACCATCTCCTCCGTACCTATGACCTCTTTCCCTATCCTCAATCTGCCCACATCCTCGGAGCCCATGGCCATCATCGTCAATACCGTGCTGGCAGACGACATGCTGACACATCCTCCCTGTGCAATATTCTCCAGCAACTGGTAGGCACAGTTTTTTCCGATATCTTCAGGCACGACACCACCTACTGGGGGCGCGACAACATCCGCCGAGTAGAGGACGCCAACAGAGCTCGATTCGGCGACCAAACTCAAGCCAAATCCAATACCTGTCCGCGTCTTGGACTTATCAGCCGCCTCAATGAGCGGCGCCTGGTCATACTGAGCCGCAATGTGGATGTCTGAGACCAATGCGTTCAAGACCTCTCTCGCGGAGTGGATCATTCTGCTGTTGTTGGACGCTGAGACTCCTGTGCAGTATGCGACACCTCGTATCCTCCTGATCTTGCCGGGGTTTCGGTTCAGATGAAGCGTTTTCGGAAGCCGGACCTGGCTAGCGAATCGAAGCTCGACGATGCCTCCACCACCTCTGCCACCCTTTCCAGGGCAAGATCGTTGCAGAACCCTCAATTCAATTCGCGCTGGTGGGATTCCAAATAGACCGAAAAGAGGTAGAATAGCTGTGCGGAAGGTGTCGACAGAGATGTCGCCGGTCTCGGTCGCAGAGGTGATGACACCAGGCCCCATAAAACGGACGTTGACATGAGCTTTGGAGAAAGGCGCAAGGAGGCAGAGTGGCAGGAGGAAGTATGTGACGCCGCGCTTGTTGTTCGCCGGCAAGCTGTGCTCGATGACGTCGCCTTCGGATGCGCCAAATCCAGCAATTGTGCCGGTGATCAGACCTGGGTTGTACCTGATCGTGGTACCGGTGTATGAAATCTCCACAGAGCTTCCATTGGTGACGGCTTCGAGGAGTCGGAGGAAAGAAACCTCATGCGGCGCAAGACCTGGATGTGTTGGCGAGGAACTGCGGATTTTCGATATGTTGACGGGTCGTCCCGTGAGAGTGGATAGTACTAATCGTTGCGCAAAGGACCGATGTCCTGTAAATCGCAGCCATTCCGGGGCGGAAGACATCGTGCCGGTGTTTCGTGGCTAGCGATGCTCGAGTGACCGAGAAAAAAAAGTTAGGTAGACCGAGCAAAGCGAGTCTGAAAATTATCTTTTTCTGCCACGGCGTGGCGGCCGGGAGCATTGTGCACAGCAGGCGGTGTGGCTGTCGGTGGGCTTTCTGATAAGATAAGACGATTCCGCGCTGCGCGTACCTGGGTTCAGGGTCCATCAAAAAATCTGACCCAACCCGTTCACTACATTTCCTTGAGCTTCCTTTGCGTCAAACTCAACTCTTCTCTATTTCTTTCAATGTCGACCAACTTCGCCTCTCCTTATGTCTCATAGAGCTCTCTTTCGTGACATTACGTGTCGAAACACATTCATTTGCCTGTCCTGTCTCTCGTTATTAGGGACAGCTGCAACCCCGCAATCATGGGCTACCCGACATAGCTCTCGATTGGCCCGCTCCCGTATCCAGAGACGAAACGCCCAGCATATCGACCCCTCGACGACCGAATCTACTTCCGATGAACCTCCAAAAAGCGCGGCAGCTTCACTTCTAGAAGAGTTGACGCAAAAGAAAAAGAAGGGAGAACCCACCTGGCGCTTCTTTGAAAAGAATGCGGCAGGCAAGGTCAAGGCCCTTCAGGGCGAAGATGCGTATAATGATTCTCTAAGCGGATCGAAAGCGTTGGAGGAGGGCCTCAAGAAGAGCATGATAGCCAATATCAAGTCGACCCTGTCAAGTCTTCAAGGCGGCGGACTTCTGGCCCCGTTCGGAGTCAACGACATCGATTCCATCGCAAAGGATTTTGAGGCACAATTTGAAGGAGCGAATACTCCAGAGGAGATGACGGAGACTATGGACCTGTACATCAAGAGCCTGGAAAAAAAGCTGGAAGAGAAGGGATTTGATGTAAGCGGATTCGACGATTCGAACCCAATCGCAACATTAGGGACGATCCACGAGGCGGCACAAAAAGACCCGTCGGAGAGAAGGAGTGATCCGATACCACAGATACCCGAGAGCGCGTGGAACTTCAACCAGCGAAAGCGCATTTCACGATTCAACTCTGTATTAAAACGAACCACGAACCAAATACGAAGAGGAGAGGAGCCAGATGCGAAGACGATACAAACAGTCTGGAAGCTTTACGGCTTGACGAGGCCAACTCTATCCAAATCATGGGCTAGTGTGCCCCATGAGGTATGGGATATACTCTGGCAAATATTGTCGGTGGACGAAACCAGGAATCCCGGCCGACTGACATACCTCTCAATGTTGGCCAGAGACTTAAGCGAAAACCAGATTCCTCTCAGCCCATCCCAGCAACTGGTGACGATAGAGGCAATGTTTGTTGATGGCTGGGATGCCAAGGCGATCGAGAGTTGGAAGAGATGTATGGCAACATTGGGCGATAGCGGAGCAGAAAACTTCCAAGAATTCTGGGAGCTCGGGGTGCGCATGTTCTGCCAAAAGGGGGATATTGTCCAGGCAGAACGCGCAATCAACAAGCTATTGGAACAACAGCTCGATCCCCGCATCATGGTACCGTTGATCAGAAGCTGCGCGGCAGATCCAGCAGAAGAGTCAAGACAGAAAGCATGGGACACCTATCGACGGATGAGAGATCTGCTTGGTCCTTCGATGGGGCTAGAAGACTACGATCTGGTCATCTCATTTTTCTTGATAACAAACCAGACGATTCAAGCCCTGCAAGTTTTCGTCGACATGATGTTTTCAGGAACGGTCGACGTGATGAAACAAGACGTGTTGCCCTCCAAGATTGGCAATAAGTTTTTCTTCGGGAAATGGCTCAAACGATTGATCGGTGCGGGGGATCTGGATGGGGCATACAGCGTCTTTCAGCTCATGCAGTCGAAAGGCATCGAGGCGGCTAGTATCCAGATAAATGGCCTCATCGGCGCTTGGCAAAGATCAGGAGGAGCCGATAACCTCCAACTGGCGGATAGCCTTGCGTGGTCGATGATCCAATCTCGCATCGAGTTTGTCAAGAACCGCCGTCGACTGTCATGTATGGATGGGTCTGCTCGCATCGTGGAGGTGTCTGATTCCCACGCCGAGCTCGCTGCGGTCCCAAAGGCAACGCTGGAGACTTTCTCTTTACTCGCCGAGAATTACCGTCTCCGAAGCTTGCATAACAAGCTGGAGGAGTTGTGGGACGCCTCGAGAGAGGCAGAAATCAGCCCAGACGCCTTCATGATGAACCAGCTGATCGAGTCTTTCTCCCAAAAGGGCGATCTTTCTGAAGCAAAGGAGGTATATCAGGTACTCGTCCACAAGCGACAAGTGAAGCCCGACCCGTACACCTTTATGGCGCTCTGGAAGATGCTAGCCATCAACAGACTTCACACCGTAACCGGAGATATGCGCATCGCAGAAATCAAGAACGCACGAGAGGTGTTTGCGGAGACTATCCGCTTTGCTCACGTTTTCGAGGCCGAAGGTTTCGACGGTCAGTTCGCAAGGAAAATCCTTCACTCTTTCCGCCGGTTGAAAGACAACCCTGGAATCGTCGTAGCCCTGCAGACACTCAAGGTAGTTTTCGACTGGACGCCACCAGAGATGCTTACTTTCGAGATGCTATTCGAAACTACTAGCCTGAAGTTCGATACTGGACCAGCTAGGCAGAAGCTGCGGTTGGCCAAGCGCAACATGGACGCGTTCGTCGAGGCACAGCCGCGACAGCCCGGAGAGCCCAAGACACTCGAGGAGATGACGCAGAAGCAGCGAGGGCAAGAGATGTCCGGTTACCTTCAGTCGAAATACATCAAGGAAATGGGTGTCATTCCAGAAGGTTTAATGGAACAAACGGCTGAAGAGATGGGCGTGTATGATATTCTCATCAAAAAGCCCTAGGGGCAAAAGTCCTCTCTGTATTATGTAGACTAAGATCTGTACACTTATAACGACACCTATCATGACTCCTCCACCATATCTTGTAGCAGTGACGTTCCGAATGCCATGTCTGTATAACCAATAACGGCGCTGCACCGTTCAGTGTGTCTAAGCAACCACGTCCTTGCCACTTAGTCGTGATCTTCCTCTGTCAATCCAGGACATCCCTCCATCTCTGCGTCCGGATATGTGTACTTGCACCAGAAGCAATAGTTGTGCTCCTTTCTCAGATACTCCACCAACCGCCGCAGCTTGTCTGCTTCCTCCAACTCGTTGAACTTGTCCAGCTCTGGATCCTCTTCATCGAGGTCCTCCGCCGTAACGTAAACTGTCTGCTTCTTTCCCAGCGCCATCCGGTCGTCCTCATCTTCCTGGTCATCCTCGTACGTCGGCAGCCGCGACAAGCTCTGCTCCAAATCGTGCTTCATCTTCCGATCCCTCTCCTTCTCCTCACGATGCCTCACCAGCCCGCGCCATAGCACGTTAATGGACTTGAGCGGCCTCGACTTGGCCCCCGTAGCCAACTTCTTCTTCCTCTCCTTCAGCTCCGCGTCTTCCACAATCTCCCCATCTCCGACACCCAGCTCCTTCTCCTCCGCCATCCTCTCTGCCATCCTCTGCGCCGCAAAGACCTGACTCTGCACTCGCGCCGTCTCCCTCTCCTGCCTGATGCGATCGCGGTACTCGAGCGGGTCGATCTTGACCCTCTTCCCCTCTTTCACCTCTTCCTCGAACCTCTCTGCCGCCTCACGCAGCTTGCGCTTCCTTTCGCTTTCCATGCCGATACCCCCGCGACCGTCCTTGATCTCCACAGCAATCGGCTCTGT